CCTGACTGCCTCTAGCCATAAACTTCATCTTTGCACAACAACATTAATGAGTGTGATAATCTCACCTTCCCTGATTTATCTACAGACCAGATTTATGACAAACCTTTACTATGACTTAAAGGAAATATCTAACAACTACTTTCAGAAAAATGTACCTTCTCTCCTGGGCTATATACTGAGCCCCAAGCCAACAGGCTATAGAGTAAGACCCTATCTCTATAAATAAATAAACAGCAAAAATAAAAAGAAGACAGAAAAAGAAATGTAGCTTCTCTCAGGAAGACTGGAGTAGGAAAGGTTGACACTGGCAGGATCACACTCCCTGTCCCCTTCTGTGCACTGTACCTCATACTTAGACAAGAGCCCTGACCCAGGATTTGGGGTCCTAGTACATTGTTCACAGTCATCCTGACACCTGATGATTCTCTGAGAAAGCCCAAGACTCACACCCTGACAACCCCTCGCTCTTCGGATGATAGCATTATTAATGAAATTGTTTGAAATAACATGTGGTAGTTGTAGCTACATTATTATTTTAAATAGTCCATGTACAGTTTCAGTATTATTAGGTGGGTATTAAGACTATAAGAGCTGGGCTAACAGGTGGCTCAGCAGTTATGAGTTCTCTGTTCTTGCAGAGGACCCGGGTTCAATTATCAGCACCCAAATGGCAGCCTTCAACTACCTGTAATTCTCCCTCCAGGGTATCTGACACCCTCACACAGACACACATATAGGTAAAATACCAATGCACATTTTAAAAAAATGTGGCTTCCTATTTCAGGTGAGTTAAGCTGAGTGCCCTACCAGGGCCTATGTTGTTTTGTGAAACTGCTCCAAAGCAGCTGTGGGGTGCTCCTCCCACCCCATCCCATCCCCACAGTGTCTTTGATGGAAACTTTAACTGGCTGGAAAGGCAGAAGTCACTAATACGGAAGTTCATTTTAAGGCCTTCAATATCTGGTTCAATGAAATTGGATCCCACACAAATTAGACATACACACAGACTGCCAGACACAGGCATCACCAGCAGGCACCAGGCATGTGCTGGGACATAGACAGGCAGGGTGAGTGGAGGTAGACACACAAGCCTGCAAATAGACACATACAGGCAGGCAAGCTGATAAAGGTGGCCTCAAGGCCATATTTATACAGAACCACACAAAAGCTGCACTCTGCCAGAACTGATTATCTAAAACATGACATCACTATTTACTTTGGGGTCTCCAGATACTTGGTGTCAGCTAACTCAATGTGCTAACTCATTGTCATCCCCCCTTCCCACCATGTACAGTGTCAGCCATGTTTTAGCTGACATATCAGGTAGCCATATCAACACCATGTTGTTTAAATTTAAACACCCTCATGGCTTTCTGTGTCTAAACAAACACCCTTAGAGTGGTATGCAGGGCTCCTCTAGAATTGCAAAATCCTCTAGAGAAACTGCCTGAGGCCTCAGGCAAGCTCAGGAAAGGAGAAAGACAGTGAATCAGATGAAAGGAGAGTAATGACATCACCTCATTGGGTGCCCCCTTCCATCCCCCTCTACAGAACATGCCTCCAACAGAACAAAATTTGAGAGAACAAAATTCCCATCTGCAGAACTCCAAAGCCATTGCATAATGAGAACGATCTATTCAAAATATTCGTAGATCAGTCACTGTACAGTGGCTGCTGTGACCAACAAGTTTGAGAGCTGGGATTCTGACACACAAGGCTTCAGCCACTATGCACTTCAGAGGTTAGGAGCAGAGCAGGTTGTTATCTGTAAGAACCTAATCATTCATAAAAGAAATCCCTTCAAGTGTAACTAATTCCTGGGAATTAGCTGCAGAAAGAAGATACCAAAATGGGTAGAGGGAAGGGCATGCATAGTTCTAGAATAAAGCAAAATATATCCCTGCAGGTCTGAGAGATCCCAGACAAAACAATGTGGATTTTAACCTTCCTGAGCTTCCGGTGTCCTGTGGTACTGCTAAGGGGACTCTGTATAAGGAGAAATTTAAGAAAGGTGAGTTTCAGATCTTCTGTGCTCTTCACCTGGACAATGGCACCATGTATGGGGTGGGCACCTGTGTTGGGGGTGTCTCATCCCAGAGTCAGTTTATGGGACTCAGGATATTGGCAAAGTCACACCCGTTACTGAAGTGAGGGTTTGAGGTCAAGTTACCAATGAGAAGAAGGCCTGAGAGGCCAAGTCCAGAGGAGCCAGAATCTCTTGACATTGCTCTCCTAGTGGGGACACACAGGGTGCAATCAACCACCCCAGCAATGAAAAGTGTGAAAGCCTTTCTTCCAAGGGGCTGCCCGAGTCCAGGACCAGAGATTCTAACAGCAAGGAGGTACCTATCTGCATAGCACACACCAAATCCAAATTCTCACAAGAAAAGAGGGTCTCCTGTGGGAAGTGAGCTGTGTGTAAACAGTCTCAGCATGGAGAGTTACTCTGTGTTTCTGGCAATGACAGAAGCTCTCTCCAAAGTCACATTTGCAGACTACAGCTGAAGTCCAACTGTGCCAGGCGGCCATTTCTTTGGAGTCTCAAACCTGCTGTGTTCATTCTTTTCTGCACCAAACACAAGAAAGGAGTAGCAATGAGGATATTTTAAATTTTTTTTCCTTTTCTATTTCTTGTACTATTGGGATTAAACCCAGGGCCTGTGCCTTTGAGGCAAATGCCCTCTCACTGAGCTGCACCCTAAGCTGAAGTTTTGTGAATTTAAATATCATACATCCCAGGCCTATCAGGTCAGCTTTCCTCCCCCTGTGAAAAGAGGCAATAAGATGCCTATTTAGCATCTCATACTAGACTAAGCCCTAACCCACCAGGATGGGAAGTATATGTGTCTGAGAAAGCATCAACCTTAGTGGGTCCATTAGCTGTAACCTCTGTCAGACTTTAAGCTAAGTAAGAAAAAACAGAGGATTTGGATTGGAATTTGGATACACTCAAACCTCAGCTCTCTTGGTTTATTAGTCCAGTGTTCTTTGCTCTACTGAAATATTCAGTCAGGCTGCACTTGATGTGGGAGTGTCATATATCAATCTGTTGATTTCATTGGTTAAGCAATAAAGAAACTCCTTGGCCCTGATAGGTTAAAACATAGGTGGGAGGAGTAAACAGGAGGAAGAGGAAGTGAGGTAAGACTCCTCAGACAGACTCGACAGCTCTACTCTCTGGAGTAGAGATGCCATGCTCAGCTCTCCCAGGTAGACGAGATAGCTCTGCACTCTGAGGCAGACGCATGAAGCTCAGACCCAGGATGGACGTAGGCTAGAATCTTCCCAGTAAGCGCACCTTGGGGTGCTTACACACATTATGAGAAATGTGCTAAATTAGTATGTGAGAATTAGCCTAGAAGAGGCTAGATAGAAATGGGCCAAGCAGTCTTTAAATGAATATAGTTTGTGTGTTGTTATTTCAGGGCATAAGCTAGCAGGCGGCCGGGGTGCTGGGGACGCAGTCCCACCACTCCATATTTCAACATGCTCTATTTAATTTACAGATTTAGAGGCTAAAAGGCCAAGATCAGGCAGCCTCATATGTTGGCTTTTGGAGAGAGATTGATGGTAGGTGGCATTATGGCAAGGTTATGACATGGAGGAGGAAGAGATCCCACCATAAGACAAGAAGCCAGACCATGTCTGGGGTCCCATGAGAACTATGTTAATCCCTCCCACAGGTAGCACCCTCCATGATCTAGTGCCACCTTACATATCACCTTGTCAAGGACCAGGATTTCAATATATGACCCCTAGGGGGAGACTTTCAAACCATAGCTCAACCACAGGTCAGTTTCTCTGTCATCTGTATCAGGCTCCCTACTATGACGCCTCCTCTCTTAGAAAATGAGAATAAAACTTCTCTCACCACATTGCTGTGATAAAAAAAGATAATAGATATAAAACATTGTGGAAATTGTAGTTGTTAGAGCACAGGGCCACTGGTCCTCTATCATGGTTGATCTTCCTTTCCACAGCACAGTTCTTTAAGATTTACTTTTATTTTCTGCCTACGAGTGTTGGGCTGCATATGTGTCTGTGTACTGAGTGTGCCTGGGGACCGTGGAGACCAGAAGAGGACATCAGATCTGAAGTCATGGATGTGAGCCACATGTGGGTTCTGAGGACTGAACCTGGGTCTTCTGCAAGAGCAGCAGTGCCCTTCACCACTGAACCGTTTCCCTAGCACCAAAGTAGTTCTTTTGTTCTCAGCAAGTAGGTGTTTTCTCTGTGGTTCTACTGCCTACATGTAATTTAGCTGTTCCATGTAGACAACATTTCCTAAATCACTTTTAACATCAACTAGTCATGAGTCTAAAATATGAGGGATAACCAACTGTCATGTCCTGGAGTAAAATTTTATAGAAGTAGCTGTGGTGACAGCTTCCTCATGGCTGGATTCACAAGAGTCAAGCAGGAAATTTTCTGCCCTCACTCACCTTTCTGAAATGCAAATTGGACCTACACTGGGTCACAGTTAAAGAAAGAGTAAGAATCTTGGTCATGTATTAGAGTCATTCCTTTTGATGATCTTTTAACATTACAGTAGAATGCTTTTAAAGGTAATCTCAAATGCTGGAAAGAGGACTTTGTGGTTGAGCACACTGACTGTTCTTACAGAGGACCAAGGTTCAATTCCCAGCAACTACTCTTGGCTCACAACAACCTATTACTACAGTTCCAGGAGATTAAGTGCCATTTTTCTGGCTTCTGTGGACAATAAGAACAGATGATGTACCCAGACACCCTTACAGACAAAACACCAATTCACATAAAATAGATGTATTCTTTTTAGGAAAATCATAAAGGATAACATTCTCTGTCCTTGCCTATCAGGATGGGTGTGTGGCCCCTGATGACTGAGAAGGAAATGCACATCCTCCTGAGACAAAACCTCAGCCCCAGATCCAGGATTTTATGGGCAAGAGCACGTATTTTCATAGCTGGCTGCTCAGTTTGTCTTGGTCTTATAGGCACCCATGAGAAGAGTATATGGAGTGAAACTGGAGAGTGGCTCACTCTCAGGGACTTTGAAATCAGAGGAGGCCATGAAAAATCCAAGAACTGAAAGAAAAGCATACAATGCTATGGATGGACCCTGGGATACTTGATAGAGGTATTCTGGGGGTAGATAGCTTCCATGTTTCCTCGGTAAGACGGTGAATTAAAAGCTTCTCTATGACAGGCAGTTTCAATTATTCTGGGGTAAGACAAGAGATTAGAAGCTCTCTCCATGTGACTGATAACTTCAAGGATTTTATTGTCATAATTCACTGCCAGCAGATGTTAGCTTCCACAATACCATTATGATTTTTCTTAGCTAGGTTCCATAGCATGGATTGTTGCCAGTATGCATGTTGGTGCTACCTGGGCTGGCTTGTATTATACTTTAAACCTCTTAAATGCATTAATTTGCATCCTTTGGATGAAAATACTGTGACCTTTACCATTAACTAGTTGCATAAACCTTGATACCATGGATACAATTTAAATGTAGAGTGTTGGTGATGGAAATAATACAACTACACGTCTGAAAATAATGCACACATGTGGATACCTGAGTTACAGAATGTTCCAGCAGTTCTTCTCCCAGGTCATTGTCTCACACTTGTTCTTGAACACCTGATTGTGGTGAGCCAAACCTGTAATCCCAGCACTTGGGAGACTCAGAGCTCAAGGCTGGCCTAAACTCTTGTTGTTCCATGACAGCACAGGTTACAGAGTAAGACCAGCCTCAACTCCATCTACCCACAAATAAGAGTAAATAAATGAAAAATAATTTTTAAATAAGTTCTTTGCTCTTAATTTCTGTTCACCCTCTGAATTGGGAAATTCAGGAGGTTTCCTTGGCAACTGAACCTATTTCTTTCGTCACTGTCACATATTCTGTCATGTATCTGAGATGGCCTTTTCCTGTGTTCTTCTCACAAAAAAGCAAAGAACTTTGTTCATCGTGTATCAACTAAGCTGCATCTAAAGCCATGGAGAGTACAGGTGTGAGCCCCTGGCCAGGGCAAGGCTGCACCTTCACACCCTACCTGCAGTTACTACTGTTGGAGAGAGAAGTCTGCAGGAAATGATGTTGAAGCCAAGGGGTGGGATGGCTATTTCTGGGTTTAGGACTAAAAGCTGTGTCATGGAACAGTCTTCCCTGAGCTGGGTCACAGAGGACAGTTCGGACAAAGTGTAGGGTGAGGTTTTCTGCATGGGGAAAGAAGGGCATTAGAAACCAGCCCTCAATGTGTCTGGAAACTGTGGGAGATCAAGTAGCATCTCTTGTTTGAGCTCACTGTGAAAATCACCAGGCCAGAAAAAGGTGGTTAAATGCCTCCTTGACTCAGTGTGAGGGCACATGGGGAGTAACTTCCATGACAACTTGTATTTAACAATGACACATCCAGACAGAATAACTAGAAAGCAGTTAGAAATACAAAATAAAAGCAAAGACTTACCCCATCATTAACATCTCTGTCTTTCAGGAAGGATCTCTACCAAACCCACTAAGGACGAAGGAAAAGGTAATTATTCCAAGATCTTCTTCCATGATGTCTGAGGCTATGATCACACCATGCAGAGTGAGGTTGGATATTTATTTAGTGGGTTATGGAGGGGAAAAGGAAAGGAGGAAGGGGAGAAAGGAGAAGAGCAGAGAGGCAGAGAGAGAGAGAGAGAGAGAGAGAGAGAGAGAGAGAGAGAGAGAGAGAGAAACGGGGGGAAAGGGGAGAAGTGGGGAGAAGGGAGCAAGGCAAAAACTGCCTCTTCGGGAGAGAGAAGGAAAGGAAGGAACTCAGGCTAGAAGCAGAAAGAAAATCTGCTTGCCTCAGTGGACAAGGTGGAGGATTGGGCAGGGTTTGTCTCTTAAAGGGACAGGACAGATCATTATATTGTCTGCACATATTCTGGCCTGTTCCCAAATTTGCCTGTGCTCCTCAGGAAGTAGGTCATTAGATAGAATTGTGTGTATGTGTGTGTGTACATACATGCAGTCCTCAGCCATGGGGAATTGCCAGAGGTGACTGTCAGCAAAAGGGGCCATCCATAGCCTTGAAGGCAGTGGGTAACTATAACCCTGTTTTCTAGAACACCAGAAGGATGTTGGACATCCAACAGTCACTCCCTTGGGTTCAGGGAAGTACATAGGCCAACCAGAAGGGAACAAACTCTCCATTGAAGCAGCCGGTGTTGTGCACAGTGACCTAGCCGCCTGGCAGATAGAATATAAGCAGTTGTAGGTGAACCCAGTCCTGGGCAGTGTTATGCCCAGGCCTGTTGTGCCTCAACACCAATAATATTACCATGCATGAGAATAGACAACGAAACCCACTTTAAGAGATTTTATTCATAAAGAGAAAGCAAAGAGGTTGGCGCACAGGCCTGTCTCAAAGAAATGTGGCAAAAAAGAACATGGGGTGGGCATGTCCACATTTTAAAGGTAGTTCAGTGCATGTGTATAGGGTTTGACATAGTCATGCACACATATAGATTACATGGCCATGCTGCGCATGCACACAGATTACATAGGTCATAAGGCCCTGGTGTGACTGAATGCCAAGGACACATACACAGCTGTGGGGCCCCAGAAATGCTAGCACCTAGGCTGACCAAGCATTTTGCCTGAATGCTGAAGGCCAGGAGACCCGGGATGTGTGGAAATGACAACCAAGTACATGAAAGACCAACTCAGGGCTACGCTGGCAGCACTCCTTCAGTTCTTCACACAACAGAGGAAAGAGGACTTTCCAGACCTCCTGGAGCACAAGCGGATAAACAAAATCAAGAACAGGCTGAACTAGAAGGCATACCACTCAGTACATTTTGTGGAGAACATGTGCCTCATCTTTCAGAACCACAGCATTCTCATATAGTAAGAATCTCTGCTTTGCTTTCTTTTCTCTTTGAGGTGAGTCACTTTTCCTAAGGTCAGGTAGATGCTACAATTTCCCTCATCATGGGGCAAGCCCACACAGGTCAAATTTGAGAAAGGATTCGAAAAGTCTCATGATGCAAGTGGGGAAAGTAGCAGTGATTCACATTGGAACTCTGGAAGCTCACTTCAGGACAGTCGATTTTCACCCGTGGAGAGCAACAGGCTACAGAGCTGCTTACTGTTGCAGGGAACAAAAGTGTTTTACAGACAGCATTTCTCATCTATAAAGAGAGAAAATTGGACTTCTCGCATTGCCAAACCTCCAATTTCTTAGTATCTAAATGTCCTAGTGCTGTAGCACAATGTTCTTGCCACAGTGCTGGAGAGATGGCTCAGCTGTTAAGAGAACATACTTCTCTTGGAAAGAAGGGAATATGGTTACCAGAAGCCGCATCAGGGGCTCACGTGCACTTCAACTCCAGGGAATGCAACACCCTCTTCTTAGCTCCTCAGGCACCCGCAGGCACATGCACACATCCCACAGAAGCACACATAAACTTAAAAGTAATAAAAATGACAAAGGCAGAGGCAGGCAGATCTCTTTGAACTCAAGGCCAGCCTGGTCTACAGAGCAAGTTCTGGCCTGTCAGGGCTATACAATGAGACCCTGTCTCAAACAAGAAAACATTAATAGCAACAACAATAATAAATACATTTCAATTAATTAATTTTCTATTTTAAAATTTTGTCACACATTTTCATAGTATTCTTCCCCTTCTCCCAAGTCTTCCCAGGTCCTCCTCACCTCCCTATTCACTCAACTGTAGATTTTCTCCCTCTCAAAAAAACAAAAACAAACAAAAAAAAAAACAAAAAATGGTAAACAAAACAAACTAAAAGAAACAGATAAACCAGACAAAAGATAGCAAAACAACACAAAAGTGTGTGTGCCCCCCACAGACACACACATGAACAAAGAACAAAAACCTAGAGTCTGTTTTATGTGGATCAGGACTCCAGGCGCCTGTCCTGAAAGGCTGATATACCCAGTGACACTGTGTTGGAGAAAACTAACTTTCGCGGTCCCAGCAGGTACTTACTGTGAATAGCTTTCTGATTAGGGATATGACTTGGTGTTTACTTCTCAGGGATGAGATTTTGTCTGGTTTGAACCTCTGCAGGTCTTCCTTCAGCATCACATCAGAGCCTCTATGTGTATGTGATGTAGGATTCCCCTCTATATGCTGTGAGTGTCATTCGTTAATAAAGAAGCTGCTTTGGGCCTATTGCAGCACGGAATAGGGCAAGGCAGGAACTCCAAACAGACAGAGGAGAGAAGCAGACAGACCTGGATCACGGAGATACCATGTAGCCACTGCAGGAGACAGACAGGCCAAAACCTTGCCAGTAAACCACGAGGCTTGTGGTGTAGGAGCTCTCCAGTGGCTGAATGATGCTGTTTCTTGAACTCATCACCACTTCAAGGTCTGACAGTCTCTGTGCCACTTCTTCCACTTCCCTGAGCCTTGAGGAGAGGGCTTTGATGAAGACATCCCATTTAGCAGGCTGTTCTTGGCCTGCCTTTAATCCCAGTCATCAGGAGACAGAGGCAGGTGGATCTCAGTGAGTTCAATGCCAGTCTGGTCTACAAGAACTAATTCTAGGACATGGTCCAAAGCTATGGAGAACTTCTGTCTCAACCCCCCTCCAAAAAAGGCTTTCCATTTAGAACTGAATGCTCCATAGTCAGTCTCTGGACCTTGTCCAGTTGTGTGTCTGTTAATTCCCATCTACAGCAAGAAGCAGCTTCTCTGAGCAGTGCTGAGTGATGCTCTGCCTTTCCTTCTGATGGATACCAATATTAATAATACTTTAATAATAATTGTAATAAATAGCAATGAATCTTTTAAAAAAATGCCACAGAATTAGAAAATCCCCCGAGTCATTGGATGAGGAGACCTAAGGTTGGGGGCATGTCTTTAAACACTTTCTCAAAGATCTGAGGGGAGACCAGAAGGAAATCTGAGCCAGCTTTAGTGAAAAGAAAGTACAGCCAGAGTCTAGAACACCAGACAGAGGTCAAGGTAGACAACTGAGAGGTGGGGAAGGAGGTACAATGAAGTTGTCACATTGAGTCTTTGTCCACTGAGGCATGAAGTGGGCATGAAAACTTCATCTTGTCCAGAGTGACATGAGTTTGGAGTGTAGGAACTATATTCTGCTGTCTCTGATGAACCTAGAAAGAGCCATTAATGTAACCCCATTACCTTCTATTTTAGTTCAATATCAGTCAAAGACAGCTCTTTGTGTCCCAAATTCAGGGTGGGTATGTGAGATAAGATATAGCTAACTGAAGTGTTGGACCTAAAATGAATAAGTAACATTCTGCCAGTTTACCTTTTGTGGCTAGTTTGAGACCCTAATATCGTCTTTTAGTTTATTTTTAACTAAGCATGACAAGTGGCTTGCTGAAAGGATACATTTAGAAGGGTCTTGCTACGTAGACCCGAACAGTCTTTTTTTTTATTAAAGATTTCTGTCTCTTCCCCACCACCACCTTCCCTTTCCATCCCCCTCCCCCAATCAAGTCCCCCTCCCTCATCAGCCCAAAGAGCAATCAGGGTTCCCTGCCCTGTGGGAAGTCCAAGGACCACCCACCTCCATCCAGGTCTAGTGAGGTGAGCATCCAATCTGCCTAGGCTCCCACAAAACCAATAGGTGCAGTAGGATCAAAAACCCATTGCCATTGTTCTTGAGGTCTCAGTAGTCCTCATTGTCCGCTATGTTCAGCGAGACCGGTTTTAACCCAGGCCTTTTCAGACCCAGGCCAGCTGGCCTTGGTGAGTTCCCGATAGAACATCCCCATTGTCTCAGTGTGTGGGTGCACTCCTCGCGGTCCTGAGTTCCTTGCTCGTGCTCTCTCTCCTTCTGCTCCTGATTTGGACCTTGAGATTTCAGTCTGGTGCTCCATTGTGGGTCTCTGTCTCTTGTCTCCTTTCATCGCCTGATGAAGATTAATGACCTGAACAGTCTTGAACTCACAGAGCTCCACCCGCCTCCACTTCTCTAGGATGAGACAGAAGGGTGTGCCACCACTGCCCTGCTAGCATTTCAGTTGCATTAAGATTCTGCCTCTTCTTCAAATTCCGTAACTCCTTATCCATCCTAATAAATTTCCAAGGGGTTAAAAGTGTGGGAAAGGAAGACCCTGCTCATTTCTGCTGTTGTATCTCACCTAGACCAACACGGTAGAGTGGACAATCTATACCATGAAAACTTGGTTTCTTGCAAAATATTTGAAAAATATTGTATAAAATTGCTTTTGACCTATATGTGAAATATTTATATAAACCAGATGAGTTTTGGATTTTGACTTTGATCCCACTCCTGTAGTATCTCATCATGTATAGACAAATATCCCAGTATCTAAAACCCAAACTACTGCTGATCTCAGGCATCTGGAGCAAGGAAAATTAAGCCTGCAATACTAGTTTTATTTCTGTCTTCCCAAGAAAGAGATATAACCAAACCCTCAGGGAATATAACTTCTTTCTTTAGAAAGAAAATGGTTACACTTCTATCCGTTGACTCTGTGGGAAGACCGTGCATCAGTGTATATGCAGGGTGCGGTGCGTGTGGAGGTCAGAGGACAGCTTGCTGGAGTCGATTCTCTTTCCACCACGTGGATCCCAGGGACTGAACTCAGTTTGCTTAGCAGCAGGTGCCTTTACCTACTGAGCAATCTTTAAGCCCCCCACCCACCCAAAGCTTCTCTTAGCTGTGTTAAGCCTCCCCATTGGCATAGCCAAGCTTACCGAGTGACAGCTATCACTGATTTTCTACTTCCCTTTCAGAACAGCAAGCTCAACCATCTTGAAGTCACAGTAGGAATCCAATCTGTGAAGACTTTGAAAAGAAATTTTTCAACCAATGATACAAACCAACAACCTCAACAGTATAAGCACACAATTTTTTTCTTTGTATTCCATCCACCACCCATCCCTCCAGCTGTCAACTGCACAGTGCTCAGAGAGCCCACCCTCCCCTCTGCCCTTCTGTGTAAATGCCCTGCCAACCTTCTACTCCCGACTTCTGTATTATCCTTCCTGTTCAATTATCTTCCTAAATAAAACTTTGCAATGTACGTCACAATGTTGAGCTGTCAGGTGCTGAGGAAGCCCACTGAGAAGGTGACTCTGAAAGCAGAATGTACTCCTCCCCCATTGTAAACCCACACAGGTTTGTCTCCAAATGTCCTCCAAAGCATCTTTTCTAAGAATGGCCTGGCCCCTCTAACCAAGCGAGTGGCTGGGCAGATAAACCAGTAAAACAGGCTGGGAATGAACACACTGTCCTTGGGAACAGCTAGAAGGTGAACCATTTCTAACATTTCTATTAAAACTGTTTATCCTATGGTGTAAAATGGGAAGGAGAAGCCAGACTTCAGCCCTGGGAGCTCAGCCATGAAGAAAAAGCTCAACTGGGAACTGTGGCTGATGGCCTGGCTTCCATCGGCATTTTCTGTTGGGTGTTGTGAGCATCCAATTTCTGGTGGATAAATGGGTTCTGGGGGTCTGGGGTCCCATTCTGGGTCAAGACCGATTGGGTTGGCAGGTACCTACCAGCTCCTGCTTAAGCCAGAAGTAGAAGGCTTTTGTTACAGCAGAGGGTGTATGTGATTATACTGGCTCAGATGGCAAACAGCATGAAGGACAAGGCTTAATTCTCAGTTTAGAAAGAGTTCTGTTTACCTTGTTATCAGCCAGGCCCTTCGCTTTCTCTTTTCTGAAATTTCCTCTTCACTGTCCAGAAATTCTGGTTGTTAGGGTTTTTTTGTTTTATGCTTTTTGTGTTTCCATTACTCTACCTACCAGAAAGCCTCCTACCAAAGTTTAGTCTGCCCTGAATAGGGCTGTGGCTGCTCTCAAGGTCAGGCAATTGGAAACAGGGAGTTGATTCTGGGCCAAAAGCCTCACAAGTTCATAATTCTCTTCTAAATTCAGTCTGAGTTCTTCCTTCTGCAGAGGCCTCAGGCTGTTTGGGTTTTCTCATAGCGTCCAAAATCATTACCCAAGTAACAGCTTTGTCTCAAGTGCTTCTTCAGGAGGAATAAACCAAGCTTCCTTATTCCTCACTGAACACAGCACAGGAATCCTTGTTATTCTCACACCCAGCCTGGTTCTGGAGTCACAAGAGGACCCAGAAAAAGCCCTCTAAACTTCCTTACCCACTCAGTCAACAGGTGTGCCCTGCCCAGCAGCAGCAGACATGAAGCATGCCTTTAGGAGGAGAGACACACTCAGACCCACACACCCTTGTGTTTACACACTCACATGATGAGCCAGTTTCAGTAAAGTAAGTAACACACCTGTGGAAAAGACAAGGATGGTGCTAGACTTTCAACTGAAGTTAGTACAGGCAATCCTGAAAGAATTGGGGTAGATGTTCTGTGAAGCCTGAAAATCTCTCTCTCTCTCTCTCTCTCTCTCTCTCTCTCTCTCTCTCTCTCTCTCTCTCTCTCTCTTTTCTGAAGGAGAGTGGGTGAGAGTATCAGAGCTGGTCTTTATTTAAAACACTCACCAAGTAGTCTTATCTTTCCAGGGAATTCAGACCACTGCCTTCCTTCTGCCTCCTACTATATATCCCTAAGCATATAACTTCGTAAGAAGTGGCAGTTTATCAAAGAGACTACAGAGCTTGTGTTATGATAAAAGTAAAATGCTGTGGATCACCCAGGGGTGCAGTGGCAGAAACACTGCAGGTCCTCGAGGTGTGGCAGTGGGCAGTGGGTACAAGACCATGGTGGACCACAAGGGCAGCCAGCCCCAGGCAGGGAGCCCCCCTGAGTGGCCTATGGGCCATGAAGACCAGAGGGTCCTAGGTAGGGAGCCTAGGCAGGGAGCTGCCTGGTGGGTGAGAGACCTTGGCGGGGCAACCAGTCCCATGAGGAGCTGCAGTCAAGTGGCCAGTGAGAGACCGAGATGGGTAAGCAGAGTGAGGTTGGATATTTATTTAGTGAGTTATGGAAGGGAAGGGAAAGGGGAGAAAAGCAGAGAGGCAGAGAGAAAGAGAAACAGAGGGAGGAGGGGATAAGTAGGGAGAAGGGAACAAGGCAGAAGCTGCTTCTTTGGGAGAGAGCTGGAAAGGAAGAAGCTCAGACTGGAAGCCAAGGAAGATGGCCTGCCTCAGTGGTGGATGGGGGAGGAAGTGGTTTCAGAGCAGCTGCAGTGGCAGGCACCTGGAAACCTGAGCTAAATTTGCCAGCTGGTCCCAGTCTATGTTGGGACCACTGAGCACACAGCCCAGGTACAGCAGTCATGGATGATGGACTGATGCCTCCAGGTTCCAAGTACCCAGAGGCAGCACAGGGACAAGAAGCATCCCGGAGTCTGATTTGCACCTTTCCTGGCTCCCAGCTTCAGCTGAGAGCCTAGATCCTGGTTCTCAGCCAGGTAGCTGAGCTGCAGAGAAATAGCCCACAAGCAGTCAAGAGTCTATTGAAATGCAAATGCACCTCCAGCCAGGTGTCTTTGGAAACCTGTCAGCTAGGGGGACTTAAAACTTGGATGCTTAAAGGAAGCAATGACCTGAATTCTACCTAACAGCTTACTGAAGCTGCCCAACAGGTACTGGAACAAGTGGAGTATGCAATACAAAAACAGCAAGGTATATTAATTATGATAAACCTTGGCAAGCACGTATATTACCCACAAAACTTACTCCCACAGTGGTTTTATGGCAAAACAGTCCGCTTATGTGGATACAACTTCCTGTCTTACAAGTCAAGGTATTAAACCCTTATTTTGAAGCATTAACTTGTTTAGTATGAAAGCAGAATGGAATCTAGGCGATATTTTGGCAGGGAACCTAATGTGACGAACACTTCTTATATTAAGCAACAGATTGATTAGTTATTTCAAAATAATGATTGTTGGGCAATTGTGCTTGCTCAATTTCAAGACCAGATTAATAATCTTTTCCCAGATGATAGGGTGCTACAATTCACACAACTGTATTCTTTTATTTCCTCCTAAAGGTTGCTTTGTCAATTTTTACAGATGGTTCTCCCAGTGGAAGAGCAGCATGTGTTGTTGGTGGTAAAGGACATGTAGTGTGAACTGAACTGGCCTCAGTTGAAACAGTTGAGCTGTTGTATAGTATTCCAGGTTGGTTTTTTTGGGTTTTTTTTTTTTGGCAAATAATGCATTTAATTTATCTACTGACTGCTATTACATTTTTAAAACCCTTCAGATATTGGAAACTGTTCCACGCATTGGGACTGGCAATAAGCAAGTTAAAATGTTCCAGCAAATTCAAGGTTCCATTTATCAAAGGAAATTGACATGCTTTGTGGGTCATTACAGAGCACATTCTTCCTGGTTAATTGGCTGAAGGTAATACTCTAACCAATAAGTTTACAAAGTTGATTGCTTTATCTCAAGTTGAGCTTGATCAATGATCACATGCTTTACATCATCAAAATAGTAAGAGCTTAAGGAAACAATTTGGATTAACAAGAGACATTGCTCATCAGATTGTCAAGCAGTGTGATATATATCCACAATACTTACCTGTACCTCATCTGGGAGTAAATCATGGAGGCCTGCCTCCTAATCAATTATGACACATGGATACTATTCATATCATGTATATGTGACAACTGATAAATATACATGTTTCTTTAATAGCCTCTGCACAGACTGGAGAAGCCACTAAGCTTGTGATAACCCATTGCTTAAAGTGTTCTTCCTATATGGGAATCCCTAAAATTATAAAGACAGACAATGGCTCCAGATATATTAGTAAAACATTTCAGCAGTTTTGTTCCCAATGGAATATCAAACACAAAACTAGCATTTCATATAATCCTCAAGGACAAGGAACTGTGGAGCATGCCCATGGCTCCTTGAAATCACAACTTCAAAAGATAAAAATAGGGGAATTGTACTCTCAGTCACCACATAATGCCTCAAATCATGCCTTTTTTTTTTTTTTTTACTCTAAATTTCTTGAATGTGGATGCCCATGAGCAATCTGCTGAAGACAGATTTTGGCATTATGGCACCAAGGTGACCTTTGGTAAAGTAAGGTGGAAAGACCCTTGCACTGAATTATGAAAGGGACCCAAGCCTGTATTAATATGGGCTTGAGGATATATCTGTATTTGTTCACAGAAAGACGTTGAAATACAATGGCTTCCAGAAAGTCTGATCTGATGTGTACAGCAGAAGTCTGACTCTTCTGTGGGGACACTGGAGTCAGAGTAACGTTCCTGAATCTGTGTTCCTGACTTTCTTACAACATCATGCTGCAGTATGAGAAGAAAAGGAAGATTGTGGTGACAATTGGTGGCTCCTAGATTCTTGGTGGACTTACTGCACAAATTTCTATACCTCAGTGTGTTCTGTTTATTTTGGAGTCAGTCCAAGAATACTGACTGAATGCTTAAAGGATACAGAACTCATTTTTGCCAGTATGTTATTCAATATGCTGTTGAAATAAAGGACCTGGGAACTGAGACCTCAGAAAATTTTCCCCTGAGGGAAAGAGACTTATTAAAACAATGGATCACTATTATGGAGGCAAAGAGTGACTGAGCCCCTTGTGAGAGATGAGGAGGGGGCCATAAAGGCTTTTACTGCTGCTCAGAGACTGGGACAGTTTAGACTTGTCTTTGAAACTTAGAAGCAGCAATGAAGATGGACTATTGGAGAGATAAAAGACTCGAAGCTCACCATCACAGAAACCTTTTCTTGTCTTTTGATTAGAATAGATTTAAAAGAATTTTGATTTGACAAATTGAGTGTTTATGTTAGAATTATGGTATCGACCTGTTAATGTTTGTAGTTCATTATGAAGAAAAAGTAGTTCACTATTAGAAAAAGATTGGAGCTTGTCTGAGAAAAAAAAATTGACATGATAAGCCCTTAGAAGGCAATCTCACCT